ATACGCGAAACAACGCACTTTCGACCCCCCCCCCCTTTTTAAGGCCTCAAATAGTGAAAAAATGTCCTATTTGGACCCCAAACATAAGTTTTCGTTTGAGAAATGTTGCTTAAAAAATTGAGCACTTTTTCGGCGCCACCCCCCATCCAAAAGATACATCAGGGGGTTGCCAGAAGGGGGATGTGCCCCCTTCTGTTAGGGGGGTTTGAAGGGGGGCAGAGTCCCCCTCATCGCCAAGAAAATTTTGGACTTGTGAGAGGGTAAAAATGACCCCAGGTCGATCATAATGTAACGTTTAACCAACGCTGAAAAGCCTTTGACTCTATCTCAATCCCTTGAACAGTTGCAGCACTTTGAAATAAATTTTGATGGAAAAAATCGAGGCAAAATAGTGATTTTTGGCAATTTTGAGATGTCCCCTCATTGCCATGTTAACAGGAAATTAAAGACTGAGCATGTAGTTACAAAGGCAATGGTCCAGTCAACATTTGTGCCAAGTTTGATTAGTATTGAAGCATTTTTCATAGTTTCATAGCAGTTTGAACTTGTAACAGGAGGCTTTTCAGTGAAAACGGCCATTTTTCACAATATGCTCATGGGGGAAAGGGTTAAATTCAATTTTAAAACACAATTTTATCACATCATTTTAAACGAGAAGTTCTACAGCTCCAACAAAATCAATTCACTACACAGAAGGCACAAAAATGTAGGCCACTTGCATCAAAAAGCACTCAAGAAAAAAGAAAAAGATTTTAAATAATTCTATTATGATTTTCCTATAAAGTTTAATCATGATTTTCATTAAAAGTTCTTTTTAATTTGACAAACAAGTCAAAACCGTTACCATAGTGATAATATATTGTAAAACAATCTCTAGAATACAACTATTGATAATATTCTTATCAATGAAATACTAGATTTTATCAGTGAGGTATAATATATATCACACACATAGTGAAAACTTTTACTGAGCTACATCCACATAAAATATGATTTTCTTTCATTTCTTACTGATATTGAATATACAAATGTATCTTTCTTCGAAGTATTTTTAGGTATTTCACTTACACTATGTAAGAAATATTTGATATTTCACTTGAACTATACTTCTATGAAATATTTGAAATTTCATAGACAAGACATCATCCATATTTTCACTCCAAATGATGAATAACCCAATTTATGCACTTTTCATTACAACATATAACCATATAGATGAAAAGAGTAACACAGGAAATGACTATATTAGATGCACAAGATAAAATGAAACTTAAGTTTATAAATGAGATTTAAATCACATACCTAGGAATGGACAGACAAAAGGGTGATCACAAATTATTTGGACCTTAGTGGCCGGACAAGAAACCATCACAATTTGACATTTGCCTTTTGCAGCCTAGAAAATGTCTCAGACTATGATTTACATTTTAAGAATAAAAAACACATGTTAAAATTAAATTTGTTTATTTTAATGATTCCTTTAATATCTTATGTGGCGTTAATACTGGCAACAGAGATGGACTGCCCAAAGAATTTTACTCAGTCCAGGGGAGACAACTGACTGCCTCCTATACAAGGTAAAATGGCCAAGTCAGTGACCTAGGTTGAAACCTAGTGTCGCATCCCCACAGTTAATGCACACACCCTGAAGAGGACGGTTGCGGCTGGGCAGCCTGGATTACTACTAACTCCGAACAGACGGTCCCGGACGTAGCCCTGCCCTAGGCCTCCCCTCCATACCTGGAGGTGGAGGGGGGTGCCCCCGTTACTCGGGAGTGCACCCCAACAAAATACATTAAAACCATGCCTGCATGCTTTAAAGCAAGTCAGGCTAGGAGAAAGAGCCAGGCTGTTAAACCCGAAACCACCCTTGTTTGTCTCCCCGGCCGCCCCCTACAAATTGGCCCCCTCTGTGCCTTGCAATTACACAACTTATTACATGTAACAAAAGCAATCAAATGTTCGTCATTACAGCAATAAGCAGCTTATCGTTTATAAACAGCATATGTTCAGATTAATATTTCCAAATTTGTAGGCAAACATTATGTAGTTTGGATCACTGAAACTTTGTGTTTTTGTTTTTTGCACCAAGCTGACATGGAAACTATGACTGGTCCCTCGCAAGTTAGCACTGTGACCTGAAAGTATAGAGAAAAAGCAGCAGCAGCAAAGATTTTTTTTTTTTTTTATAGTATATGACAAGTCATGGCATTAAGGGGTTGGGAGGGTGGGTTTTTCGACTCGGTAAGCAGTGTGGCAATAACCCGGATGAAATATGTTTATTACCTCCCTTGAGACAGGATAAACTCCGTACCGTACCTTATTACCGGGCGGTAATAAATCAAGTACTCGGACTTTGATGTGTTTAAATAAGATTATCGAATATAAAATTCTTGCTAATCTCTCTTAAATCACATACCTCGGAATGGACAGACAAAGGGTGATCACAAATTATTTGGACCTTAGTGGCCGGACAAAAAACCATCACAATTTGACATTTGCCTTTTGCAGCCTAGAAAATGTCTCAGACTATGATTTACATTTTAAGAATAAAAAACACATGTTAAAATTAAATTTGTTTATTTTAATGATTCCTTTAATATCTTATGTGGCGTTAATACTGGCAACAGAGGTGGACTGCCCAAAGAATTTTACTCAGTCCAGGGGAGACAACTGACTGCCTCCTATACAAGGTAAAATGGCCAAGTCAGTGACCTAGGTTGAAACCTAGTGTCGCATCCCAACAGTTAATGCACACACCCTGAAGAGGACGGTTGCGGCTGGGCAGCCTGGATTACTACTAACTCCGAACAGACGGTCCCGGACGTAGCCCTGCCCTAGGCCTCCCCTCCATACCTGGAGGTGGAGGGGGGTGCCCCCGTTACTCGGGAGTGCACCCCAACAAAATACATTAAAACCATGCCTGCATGCTTTAAAGCAAGTCAGGCTAGGAGAAAGAGCCAGGCTGTTAAACCCGAAACCACCCTTGTTTGTCTCCCCGGCCGCCACAGAATACTTTATGTATTCCCCCATGATAAAATTCTTACTACAATTAAACCTGAGAGCAACGTAACTACGTTTTGAATAACAACACAAATAAACAACTTATAAGAATACAAAGGGTCTCGTAACTGTGTGTGACCCAATATTTCACATTGTTATTGTCCAATTTAATTAGCATTGTGTTTAGGGTAAAAACTTTCGTCGGTGGTTACAAACATTTCTAGAGCCAACTTCCAGTTTTTTAGAAGGATGTCATTGCCAAAATTTGAAAGGTGGGTACCATCTGTGTGGAAGAGACTGACTTCTTTAGCGTGAATATAACAGTCATTGTTTATATATTTGCCACCATTTGACAAAATGAATGCTTTAACAGCTGCATTGACTCGATTCCTTTTCTTTTCAATCAGTTTACCTGCGCCTAAAGGTGCATAATGCCAGTAACGTCTCTGGAGGATAGAGGACCAGATAATGATGGCACCTGTAAAAAGGGCTTGATATCTCAATAGAGATTCTTTTATTTGCTCTATTATGTCTTTACCCGTGATACCTTCTACTGTTAGGTCATTTGAACCGCAATGTAGCATGATAAAATCTGGTCTTTCGGTTACATTGAAGTCGATCTCATGTTTCCTTGAGTCCATTATTGTATGTAGTTCAGCCAGCTTCAATCCCCTTTTTCCCAGCCACTGAACAGAAATATTACGATGGGTGAATCCGAGTTGAAGATCTTTTGATGCAGCCGATTTTGCCCAATGCACTATTGAGGAGCCCATTATCCAGATGTGTTTTTGACCTGAAATTAACTTTGGGATGGTTAGGGATTGAACTAATTGATAGCAATACTGGTTAGTTAAGCTGTTAAACGAATATATCTAGTGTAGGCACTGGATTTCCAGCGGCCCATAGACTTAAGCTGTTCGTCTGAGACACCCTGACTTGCAAAATATGTTGCCCCTCCAATACGAAAGCTATGTGACCTGATGAACATTGGGGCATTAATAAACTGCAATGTTTTGCGTAAAACTGATGTAAACTGATACCTGGTAAGGCTTTTAGCATTAAAGTAACAAAAAGGTGGTTATTGCTGGAGTGTGTACGATTTTTAAGATATATTTGCATGTTGCTCACTGGGCAGTATAATCCACCTGTGGCACGTATACTTATGGTTGTTGACAATCCATATTGGTCTGTTTTTGACCATCTGATGCATAATTGCATAGTATTATCCGAGATGTGGACATCGTTAACAAGCAATAGTCTTTGACCTGAATAATTTGAACTTGGAGTGGTAAATTCTCCTACCGTTAACAGGCCAAAAAATGCAACAGAAAAGGCTGCACTAAAAAGGGCTTGTTCGTACTTGTTAGTACATACATGTTTTAAGGATGCAATAAGGCTTTCTAGCAAAGGGAGAGTAATTGGAGCCCGCAAGTCTTGGGCTGGACCCCCTTGAATGCGGCGTAAACCTTCTAATGACTTAACGACTAAAAATGAGGTGGTTGTATCAGACAAGCCACGTATTTTGTGAAAATGACCAATGCCTGATATATAAGTAGCCACAGATGATGCAGCAAGGCCGTTGTATGAGCAATATGCAATAAACAGTAGGAGATGCTCTAAAGGGATGGGCCAAGATTGTGGCAGGCCATAACTGAGCCGAAAGTATGCAAGCTTTCCGGCAACCGGAAGCATATGTCTTGTGGGTTGAAGCTGCTAAAGAATTAAAATAAAGATTCTGAGCTGTGTTTATTAAATGGTCCATAGAAGTGATGAAATCTTTGTTGGCTGCATGTCTGCATAGGGTGCTGCCCGTCTGAACTTCCCCCACTGTGAACGAGAAAGGGAATCAGCTATTATATTTTGACTAGAAGGAATATAGGTTGCTTTTACAGAAATATTATGTGTGAGCATAACCATGACTAGATGTCTTACAAGGTTCATGACTCTTTCAGATTTGCAAGTTTGTGTCTTTACTATCTGAACTACTGCTTGGTTATCTATATATGGAACAAAACTTTCTTGTTACTGAACACCTTGGCCCATGTAACAATAGCTGCTACTACCGGGAACAACTCGAGGAGCGTCATGTCTTTAGTAAGACCTTCTTCCACCCAGTGTAATGGCCAAACCCCCTGAGACCAATGACCTGCAAAGTAGATGCCATAGCCCCCAAGAGGACCCCCTGCACTATCTGTGTACAGCTGTAGATCAATGTTAGACAGCCAGCAAGGGTCAGTTATTAATGTTATGCCGTTGTATGCAGCCAGAAATTGTAACCACAGCTGTAGATCTTTTTTCATTTGACCAGATACCCTTATCTTATGATATGGCTTTTTAATACCAATGGTGGAATTTATAAACCTCCTGCAAAATGCACGGCCTGGTGCAATGACTCTGCAAGCAAAATTGAGTGAACCTATCAGAGATTGCATGACTTTCAAAGTAACCTTTTTAGTATTAAGGATTTGTGTTATTTTGCTCTTTAATTCCACAAGTTTTTCTTCTGGTAAGCGCATTACCATTTTAACTGTGTCAAATTCAATGCCTAGGAAAACAATGGAAGTAGTTGGGTGACATGTTTTATCAAGTGCAACTGGGATACCAAATTTTTGGCAAGTATCTTTAAAGGACTGCAGTGTGTGACCATGCTTACAGCTTAAAGCTGGCTCCCCAAAAAGGAAATCGTCAAGGTAGTGTTGAATATTAGGGTTATTACTGTTTTCAACTACAGCCCAGTGTACAAAAGTGGCGAACTTTTCCCAGATAGCACAGCTGATGGATGCACCAAATGGTAGCATCTTATCATAAAAATAGTAAGTGACAGGTCCACTTAGTGACCTCACTTGGACCTTGAAACCTAGTAAGTCAAAATCTTTTGGGGAAATTGGTAACAAACGGAAGACCGACTTAACGTCTGATTTACTAAGGGGGCAACCTTCACCTAAGGAAAAAAAACATGTTTGCGGCCTGATCGATTGTTGAATAAGATACTGAACAGTACTTTTCATCTATGTAACTATTAATAGATTCATCTTTAGGATAAGACAAATGGTGTATCAAGCGGAAATCTCCCCCTTTTTTGGGGACTAGACCAACAGGAGAAATTTGCATGGTGGTAAATGGCATTGACAGAAAAGGTCCCGCTACCCTGCCAGCCTTTATTTCTTTGATTATTTTACTTTGAAGTATTGCAGGTAACTGTTTTGCACTAAGCAAGTTGGGCGAGTCTCTGAAATAACGAGGGCCCTCATAATGTAATGGGAAACCATTCATTAACCCATATTTAAGTTCCCCAGCACTGTTGTCTGGGTACAGATTTAAAGATGATAGTAACTTTGTAATGTTAAGGGGCGTTTGGCCTTTTTGGTACAGTAATCGTTCCTTACTGCTGCTGACTAGAGCGGCATACTGTTCTGCGATGATTACCTCCACAGAGCTGGCATGCATGCTTGTACCTACAATTTGTAAAGCGACAATGACGACCAGTATTGAAAAAATTACAAGTAAGTGATGACGGGCTTACATTATTATGGGACTTACTAGGTACAAATTTTTGTTGAGTGCTAGAATTAGTGGATGTGTTCAACCTTACAGGATATTGTGTTGCTGGAGAGCCTGAAACATATAGAAGCCATAACTCTACATTAATGACACCCCAGTGATTGGAAGGATTTGACGCTTGCAAGTGGCGAAACTGATCATCGTATTGCCACCAAGTAGGTGACCTAGTAGATGCCAAGCGAATATCCCGCAGATATTTCAGAAGTTCTTGGGCCCTCATTGGAAATCGTTCTAAAAAAATGCTGGTATACATGATAAAGGCCGAAGTCCACTGATCAATTGACAATTTTGAACTCTCCTGCTCATGGGGCTTCACAAAAAATCTTCCTTCCCTAAACTGGACTTCGCCAGCAGGTCCGGATTCTGAGATTTCATTTAACTGGCGTTGTGATTTCAGTAAGATCCCCAAGTCTAAAAATTCACTTGCCCAGATTTTTTCTTTTATCTTTTGGGGGACACAACTACCTAAAGAGATAAAAACACTTGGATGGGTTATATCTGGATGTGGGATGACAGTGGGAGGGGTTACAATTTGAAACGTAGGGGGTGGGGTTGAAGTTGGTGAGTTAGCTGGGGGAGAAAACTGAGGGTGAGTTATGTCCGGATGTGGTATGACAGTGGGAGGGGAAATTAAATCGTCGAATGGACTTATACCTAGTTGTGGGGGTGGTGGAAAATGCACAGCGGGTTCTCGATTTTGCCTCTGAGCAGTCTGATGCCTGCTGTCCACTTCATTCAACTGATTCCGCGCTCTTTTCCTGCCTCCAGTTGCCGTATCGGCATTTCTCTTTCCTTTTCCTCGCGGCATGATTCTTTTAAACTTGTAACAACCGATTTTTTCGACTCGGTAAGCGGTGTGGCAATAACCCGGATGAACTCAAACTCCTCACAGCGGTTACGTCACGCTTTGCTACTTGCTTTTGTTACTGTACAGATCAGGGGAAGTTACCGATGCGAGGAGTTTGGGATGAACTATGTTTATTACCTCCCTTGAGACAGGATAAACTCCGTACCGTACCTTATTACCGGGCGGTAATAAATCAAGTACTCGGACTTTGATGTGTTTAAATAAGATTATCGAATATAAAATTCTTGCTAATCTCTCATAATTCATATCTTCACTCCTAAAAATGAATGATCCAATATGAAAACATTAAAACCATACAAATGAATAAAGAGTAAGATGAACATATTTGAGGCACATAAAATAAAATGCCATATTGCACAGAAACTTTTTGCTGTCTTTGTTCGAATGATTCTACTGATATGATATACAGTGCAACCTCTACAGAGTGACCCTCTTTACAGCAATAACTTGTTTACAGCATAGGGACCCTCTTTACAGCAATAACTTGTTTACATCAGAGTGACTCTCTGTACAGCAATAACTTGTTTACAGCAGAGCGACCCTCTCCAGAACAACTGTTTCACTTCTACTTTGAGAGTGAGACTTCTCAATTAAAATTTACCTTTATCTAGCAACACCTTTCACTAAATAACCAAAACTTTTGTCTCTCGAAGGGTGTTGCTCTGCAAAGGTGGTATGTACTATTATTATGCTGGTATGTCTAGAGTAATTATAATAATTATCAAATTATCTCCTAATTATATCCTACTCTACAGCAAAAATGTTTATCTCATTCCTCCATGCTTTTTTGGTTAACTTAATACAGTACTTAACCATCTGGCAAATGTAAACACCCTATGTTTGGTCGCTTAATTCACACTCAGTTCTAAAAAATTTACATATTGAACCTTTAAAAACCCAAATAAATTTTTTCCTAAAGCCAACTAATTGCACCAGAAGGGCTAAATCCAGATATTTTTATTTTTAGATATGATATCTGACAGCTCGTCATAAAATCCAATATCATGAGATAATAAAACACTTTTAGTCGACAGAAAACTAACAAACAAAAAAATGACAGAAAGCTAGTCTTGCACTTTAACTTGGATATACAATTAACAAAAAAACACAACTACAAATTTTTACCCTGCTTCCTTTACAGCCAATGATTTTTTTTTAAAAGTTGTAAACCAGTCTCTAGATTACTCTCTGTCATTGGCTCACTTAAAAATATGTGCTTAAAATCAACCAATCAAATGGCAGAGCAGCAGACTGGTTTACAATTTCAATATTTCAAAAGGTAGGATCAAATGAGCAGTTTCTTTATGACTATACATAAGTAATTCTAACTAAAGGTATGAAAATATAGTCATTTGAAATAGCATTGCTGATAAAAAATATCTACATTTTCAAGGCACAAAAATACTTGATGTTACATGAATAAATACTGTTAACTAGTATTCTTGGGGTATATGTACTGGTACACACTGTGCGAGTAAATACATTTATGTTTCAAACATAGTAATAAATGATTGATTCCAAAAATAAGTTGATTTTTTTCCCAACTTAAATTAATCATTTATGATTCTGGTTCCTGAACTAAGCAATACTAATGTCATAATTATGAGGAAATATGGTCATAACTGATGTAAAGTTCAATCCCATGATCCCTGTTCTGAGTAGAAACCATGATTATGTTCCTGATATTTATTATAAATGGGCAAAACACTTTCTTTTACATGCAAAACATATTTCATTCTGTATTCTTTTACTGAAAACAATACCTTCTTAAACTGAGCAGAATGTCTTTTTAATAAAATGTTGAAATTCAGGAAAGGTAAAAATCATAATCTTGTGCTTCCTACTCGCCCCCCTGCCCCCCCCCCCCCCCACCTTACAAAGGCTAAAGCTAAGCAATTACAGAATTATTCAAACAAATTAATGGAATTCTAAGCATTGTGTTTTTGGCACTTGTGAAAAGTTGCTGCCCCAATGTTATAATTAATCATATTAAAAACGAAGCAAAATCTGTCTTATTTTCTTGCATAAAATGACGCAAATTTTGTCACCCACTTACTTCAAGGAATGCAGATTTTGCTGCCATTTCTTAGATTTTTTCAATTAATTCATAACTTGAATATGCAAACAAAATACTTCTAAAACCACAACAAAGAATATCTTTCATGTGATCAAAATGAAAGTACATCTCTTAAATTAGTGAATCAATCAAATCTTTGAGGAAAAAAATCTTTGTACATAATCTGACCAAACAAACAAGTAATATTGGGTGAAAACACATTTTTGATCACTCTAATGCAATTATGAAAATAAAAATAATTTGTTTATCAAATACCATTTGAAACACAAATTTAACAGTTAACAAAAAAATTAAAATAAAATCAACATTTTCAAACAGCCAAACTGTTCATGACCATAAAAATTTCACTCTGTATCAACACAATGAATTTCAACATACAGTCAAACATGTGTTTAAAGACCAACTCTGAGTAAAAATCTCCCTGTAAAGAGCACTCTGATAATCCTATATTGATCAACAAAAAACTAAAGTAACCTCCAAATAAAGTCCACTTGTATATAAATGCCATGTTCGGTTTCTACTGTGGATGACCATTGCTCACAGGTTTAACTGTATTACCAATATATTACATAAACCAATCTGAATCCCCATATTTCACAGCCATTATCAAATTAAACATAATTTTCTTCTTACCAGTTGTTTTAGTTCAATTTCATTATGCTCTCAGTCCATACCAAAGAACCCAAAATACTTTGCAACAAAATGTTCTCTAAACCTTTTTACAGTTTCATTTGAATTATATTACTCATTAATCCTTTCTTTTGTTTCCATACTTAACAAACAGTTTTACAGGTTTTTTTTGATAAATAATATAGCATTTCAAATGCATCTCAAACTACAATGTATATTTTTATTAATAAATACAGTTTCCCTGATTTACAATTAACTTTTTTTCAGAGAATCATCCTCCTGTTGTTTCCAAAATCTATGTTGTTTCAAAAATCTGTTTTACGTTGTTTTACAACTAATTCAACATTAGCATAATATTGTTTCCTGAATGTGTAAGTCTTCATATTGCTTCCAATATATTTGTTAAGTTCCCATTTAAAAGGTTCTTTACTAGTGTTGTTTGTAACACATCAAACAACTATCAGATATTGTTTCTTACATATATAACAAAATTATTGTTTCTGAAAAAATCTTGTTCTTTCACGTGTTCTTTTCAAACAATTTTAACGATACTAACATCTTATTCAAGCAACATTCCCCCGTTGTTTCCAACATATTCATTAACAATATTCCTGATTCTATGTTAACATACAATGCCCTTACATTGTATACAACATAATTATGTAACAATGGCCTATCATTGTTTACAATGGCCTTACATTGTTCACAATGGCCTAACATCATTTACTAAAGAATTAACAACGATGATCAAACTCTAGTTTCATGATCTGGATCATTTATGTTAGGTCCAATGTCTAATCCTTCGGTATTAGAGTTCACGAAGCCAGCGGTGGCCTCTGAAAATGGCATCGGTTTTACGGGTTGCACCGGCCTTGGTAAAATTGCTGGATTTATTGGACGTGGCATTGGCCTACTTGGTTGGTCAAACGTTCCTTCTGGCCATCGCACCGTAGGTTCCGCAGAATCACGATTTCTTACTGCTATAGAATGTTTTGGTGCTCGAACATTTTGAACTCTTCGAACTTTTATATCATCCTCCATGAATAAAGTTTTATTCTGTAATAGTAACAGAAAAGCACGATTAGTAAAGCAGGAGTGTCATAATTATATAAACTATTTAAGGAGCCTTACTGAGGTCCATAAGCATAAAAACAAATAAAATTTCAAATTCTTGTGTTCATCAACTGATGCACTTGAAATGAAAAAAAAAATTCAAAAAGATAAAGAAATGAATAAATTAACTCGGAATCAATTTTTCTCCGAACTAATTTTTGTGCACGATTAGTAAAGCAGGTGTGTCATAATTATATTAACTATTTAAAGGAGCTGCACTGAGGTCCAAATTCATAAAAAACATAAAATTTCAAATTTTTGTGTTGATCAACTTATACACTTGAAATGAAAAAAAAATTCAAAAAGATAAAGAAATGAATTAACTCAGAATTAATTTTTCTTCGAACTAATTTTTGTGTGATTCTTAAACTGATTTGAGCTGAAGGAATTTAAACAGTTTTCAATTCTGTCATCATTTTGAGCAATGAGAGTGCGTCTACAAGCTTTAAGCTTCCTCCACAATCTTATCAAAATACTAACTAAGTAACCATTAAGCCAACAAGATAGACCTTTAGGGGAGGACCCTAGATAATGTTGGTATAACTTTTGGTCCAACCATTTTGTATGTACATTGTATTTATGCTTATGATAATGATGTTAGATTGTGTAAATTTATCATATACAAAATATACAATAAAATATGATTCAACTAAACCAAAATAAATTCTGTATAAACCAAGTTTTAAAATGCCACACCAGTACCAATTTTTTATTCTTAATATAAACTGGTTTAACTAGAACTATCGCTGAATGCGATTCATACCCCCACCAATGTCCTTGACAGAAGACTTGGAAAGGTGGTTAAGAGAATAACTTTAGTGGCACAAATACATATACATAAAAAGAAATTATCTCTGGTGAAAAAAAGACTAATTGTACAGGTATTAGTATAAATATATATTGTCAAATCATGTTCGAAACAGTTACAAATAACCTTTCATTTTCAATTTTTGACCGTCAAGTGTGGCCTTGACCTTAAGCTGGCACAAGGGTAAGATGGGTTCTGCACATTGCCCAGTTGGGGTGAACATTTGAATAAAGTTTGAAGAAAATCCTTCCATTAGTATAGAATTTATAGAGCGGACATAACATATTGTCTAGTATTGATTGTATGTAAATTTAAAGACTAAAAAAAAAGGGCAAAACTTTGTCAAAATGCAATACAGAGTTATGAAAC